TAGAGACGTCCATCAGCAGCAAGACATTTGTAACCTTTGTGGGAAGTGGAGTAACCAAGAAAAACACATTCTTGGGATCGAAATTGAAGTTTGTGTTTGTTGTAGGGCCGAAGATGGGGAAAGCAAGAGCAACCAAATATTCTAAGAGAGAGATAATCTGGTGGTTGGTGGAAGAGTTTGTGATAAGGAACAACATTCTGAATAGATGAGGAGGGAAGTCGATTGATGAGATAAACGCCAGTGAGAAAGGCATGATCCCAAAATTGCATAGGTAATTCAGCTTGAGCCAACAACGTGAGACCAAGTTCAACAATATGCCTGTGTTTTCTTTCAACAACTCCATTTTGATGGTGAGTGTGTCGACAGATTAGACGGTGTTGAATTCCAACTTCATTTAAATAATTAGTGAAGGAACGATACTCACCACCCCAATCAGTTTGCAATGCTTTGATCGGGTGGTGATATTGATTGTTAACCATAGCGTGAAACTGCTTGAAAACATTAAAAGTTTGAGCTTTATTTTTGAGAAGATAGATCCACGTAAAGCGTGTGTGAGCATCAACAAAGGTGACATAGTATTGATAGCCACAGGTTGACGTAACCGGAGCAGGTCCCCATAAATCGTTGTATACTAAATCAAAGGGTGTATTGTAAACAATTTTAGACAGATTGGAAGGTAATCTGTGGGATTTACCAAGACAACAAGGAGTGCAGAAATCTGATTTATTATTGGTCACAAGTTGAATGTTGAAGTTCCGGGAAACATGTTTCATTACATCAACATTAGGATGTCCTAATCTAGAGTGCCAAGTGGCAAAAGAAACATAACTCTTTGCTGCTGTATTAACAGAGAAGGATCTGGCCGGTTGCACCTGCTGGACAGATTGTGTACTGGGAGTTGGAAGAAGTGCAGGAAACTGGTACAGGCCATCAGGACCAACCGAGCCTTGGAGGAGAACTTCTTTAGTGTCCTGTGATTTGACCAAGCAAATGTAGGGGTGAAATTCAAAATATACAGAATTATCCTTGGAGAATTGACTAACACTGATTAGGTTTTTTGTGATGGAGAGCACAAATAGAAGATTGTTTAGAGCAAATTGAAACTTAGGGTTGATTGGAGAATGAAAGGTGGTAACACCTGTGGAGTTAATGTGAAGCCCTTGTCCATTACCAACATGGATTTGATCGGGTCCTTCAAAAGGAGTAAATTGTTGAATATTTTGAGAGACATTGGTAACATGATTTGATGCCCCAGAATCCGGATACCAATTGTTGTTGCTTGAAGAGGAGGACGATGCAATCATGGCTTGAGGTTGCGCCTGGGTGGAGGTGAATTGGACTTGAGGAGTAAATTGAGGTCTAGGCCCAAGAATGCCATTTTGATGAAGAGAAGAAGAAGCAGGTTGATTGCTATACCACACGTGTCTACACTCAACTAAGATATAGAGGCTAGGGTTTTGGCGGAGAGGCCGTGGGCGAGGCGCAAGAGGACCATGGCGACGGCGTGGTCGGAGGGGAGGGAGAGGTTGGAGAGGGCGATGTGGGGCTTGAGCTTGTCGACGACCGTTGTGAAGACCGGGTAGGAGAGGCCGTAAATATAGACACAAACACAAGGAGCTACTATAGTATGAGAAAGAGACACAAAGTATTGAATTACTAACCACACAATTCCACCACCTCCACTCATCGCATCTTTTTCCTTTTTTCTCTAACATGCCACATTTGTTTTTAAGTAGCAGAATTTTTTTTTTTTATAGTTAAATCAATTTATATGTCCTTATAGTTTTCTTAATGTTTTTAATTGATTCCTTATAATTAAAAGTATTTTTTTTAATTTAGTCCTTATAATTAAAAATACTTTAGAAAGATCCTTATAATTTAAAAACATTGTAACAAGTCTTTCACACATTAATAATGAATTTTTTGAATTATATTACCTTTTAATATCGTATTATTTTTATTTTTTTCAAAAGTTTATAATTAAATTTCTAGTTTTAATATGTTAAACACACCAAAAATTATAATTAATTTCATGTTTAGATTTAAATTATACATCAATTTTAATCTCTTTGATAATTTTTAATTTACATCTATAAAAAAATTAAGGAAAAAGATTAAAAATATAACTTTTATCTGCATGATTTAAATTTTCACTTAATTGAGTTTATGAAATACATAAAATGCATGACTATTTATTAATCTAAAATTTTAATAAATAAATATATATATATATATATATAATAATTTAAAATTATACAATTATTTGCTTATTTAAGTTAACATATACTATAATTTTTATTAATGTAACAAATGATATATATTTATTATATATATATATATATATATACTTGTCAAGTTCTAATATTTTTATTTGTGCAATACACTTGTTAAAAGCTTATTAAATGTATAACAAATATTTTAAAAATTATGAATACAATATTTGGTAACATAATTTAGACTAGTCTTTAGAATGTGTAATGCACATGCTAAATATTTATTATATAATTAAAATTTATAAAATACATATATATATATATAACTAAATAATATTTTTTTACATATAAATCATATTTAAAATTTACATACAAAAATATTTTTAAACATAAAGATTAAAATTTTGAAGTTATGTGGATAAAAGTTATGTTTTTAATTTTTTTTCTTATTTTTTTATAGACATTAAAAATTATCAAAGAAATTAAAACTGATGTATAATTTGAACATCTTTTTTCTTAGTTTTTTTATAGATGTAAATTAAAAATTATCAAAGAAATAAAAACTGATGTATAATTTGAATCTAAACATGAAATTAATTATAATTTTTGTTGTATTTAACATATTAGAACTAAGAATTTAATTAGAAACTTTTGAAACAAATGAAAATAATACGATATATTAAAAGGTAAGTGTGATGTCATGATATCCAGTCAATATAATACAAAAAATTTATTATTAGTGTGTGAAAGATTTATTACAATATTTTTAAATTATAAGAATTTTTAAAAATATTTTAATTATAAGGATCAATTAGAAAATTAGAAAACTATAAGGACAAACAAATTCATTTAACTATAACAAAATTCTGTAAAGTAAAAACAAATGTGGCATCTGGCATATTAGAGCAAAAAAAGAAAAAGATGCGATGAGTGGAGGTGGTGGAATTGCGTGGTTAGTAATCCAACACTTTCTGTGTCTTTCTCACACCTAACATAGCTCCTTGTGTTTGTGTCCATATTTAGTGGGTGAGCTTGGGTTGAGGGTGTGAAAGTTAATTAAAAACAGAAACATGTACTATCACTACACGGCTATTTCAACACTTTCCATTTCAGTAAAAACAGGTTATGATGCGCTATTTGAGTGCTTCATTTTGATAGTAGAAGGACTGAAGGAGCATGAGGATTGTGGAGTGTGTTTCTTTTGAACGATTCAGATGAGGCAGATTTATGAGGTCACTGTATAAATGGTTGAGATGAAAGGTACGTACATGGAACCCTAACCTTTCCTCTTTTTTGAATATATATATAGACATGTCACTCTTTCATGTTTGCTCAACTCTCTCCATTATTTAAACAAAACATCACGCCTAGTGGTTACAGAGGAAGTGAATTGAGAGAAATTAAGAGTAATGATATATGAACAATAAAAATTGTATATCACTTTTTATGTTTATCTCACACTATTATTCATTAATATTTTATATTGATAATAAATGAAGTGACCGAGGGAGATAAACACATAAATTGTTATACAATTATATCTTATACTAGACTATGATCTATGCAGAAATGTATGTACTATATTTTAAAGAGATTAAAATTAAGTTAAACTATTATATTTAATGAATTTAAAAAAATCAAAACAAATGTATAACAATAATAATAATAATATATAAGATACCTACTAACCTACATATGTTTATGACAAATTACGAGAAAAAATTAGCAAGACATTAAATTTTGCTATGATTTTAATTTTTTGAGTTCACTATGTCATTAAGAAAAAAATGTGACTCAATTATAAAATGAGTAAAAAGATAATTGAATTAAAGATATAAAAAATAATAAATGATATTATAAATGAAAAATAAACGATGAACATATAATGCTAAAAATACAAAATCTAATAGTCAAAAAATACATATTAATTCTCACTTTTGCAATTGCTAAAAATTCATACTAAACAGTATAAATTTCTAAAGAAGGAGCCAAAATTATCCCCGTACATCACAAGTTTCATTCATCACAAAAAGATATGACCTTATTCTGACAGCTTAGAGATTAATATCAAAATAATGAAGACTACTACAGCTTCCATGCAAAAGCAGGGAAAGGAAAAAAAAAATGGCATCACTGAGCCACTACGAGAAAGGTATGCTGAATTTCTACAGAAAACTGTTGTTATCGGCTACTTTCATCTTTTCCTGTCATCTCATCCTCTTCATCCACAGGAGCATACCATTCTGGCCACTGCTTAGAGTTGCACAGCCTGTAGTTCAGGAGGAGTTCTTCATCTTCAAGAGCCCTAGTTGCTACCAGAACAACAGTTTTCAGGGTAGGAACTTGTGATTGACTGTTTCTTGAAATTCCAGATTTGAACCAAAAACTGCCAAATCTCTTCAAGCTCACTTCTGCATTGCCAAATGATATGTTGGGTATGTAAACTCTCATGCTGTTTTCAGTCAATGGAAAGTCATAAGGGCAAATCATGACATTTGGAAGCAACCCTTTTGCAGGGTGATTAGCAAAATGCGCTACGGCTAACGGGTTTCTACGCTCAACCACGTCATCATCACCATTATCAAGCTTGTTTTCTAACATTTTTCTACCATTGAATCGTTCTGGACCGTCACCTCTACAAACCCAAGGTTGGGCGTCGATCACAGTCCCGTCATATCTCCTAATCAAATACGGATTCTGCTCATCATGGTACCCAGGAACATAATGATAATAAGCTGGAGAATAGACCACACCAGGATAAAAGGCTAATACAGCACCAAGATCAACTGCACCATCTAAAAATAGACCTTGGCCAGAATTCTTGTGAGATATTTGAGAAGGTTTAATATTAAGTGTGTAGCCAAGTTTATCCTTTAATTTCTGAGAAACATCAGCTTGACTTAATGGTCTTTGTTTAGAGACAGCTGCAAGCAAGCATGTCAATAAAAGATGGAGTTAGAAAGTTTCACAATAATATGAAAAATATGAATAAAAAAATCGAAGTTAATACAATAGGTTATATTGCTATTCCACCATGGATCATCAGGAATAGAAGATGACTAAACAATGAGTGAAATATGCGGAATAACAAGCAAAATAAGGGGAAGATTACAACAGAAAAAAATAAAATCACCAGGAATGTTATTAGGTGGATCACACCTACCATTGGCAGAACAAAGCCCGCTATGGTGAAGTGAACTGTTCGCTTGTTGAGATAATTTTAGGTGGTCATTCACCATCTTTTCATTTGGAATAAGAATTTCATCCATTCGCAAGCAAAATGTTTTGATTTGAGAATGAACATTTTCTTGTACTTGCATTTGTTGATCGGCAAAAGAGGCTTTATTGGCTATTTCAATAATCTCTTCAGCATCTACTTCATCAGCATTCTTCCCCAACCGATTGTAGCTGGATATTTAAGTCTTTGCATGAGCAAAATATGTCAAAAATGTTAAAAAGGAAAAGCATAACACAGTATAGAAACACAATTGAGATAATTGGCTATTAAGTTATTTTAATTCATACATAATTGCACAAATCGAGGAGGATCATACAATTGAAGATCTAACATGTCATTGTTAAAATTAACTCAATCCTTTTTAATTTTCTTCCATGTTTCTTTTATTGCTATAGGATACCTTACCCTCCCTCTTCTTGTATTCTATTTAATAACAGCAATTTTATAGGTCTCTTCATGAGCACCAATTACTTCATTATTGCAAATCTTTTTCACAAGTAGAGGTTAGATGTGGTTTGTGTAAGTCCTATTCTCTTTGTCATCCCATTGTGGGTGCTTGAAACAAAGTATAGACAGAAAATTACGCAAAGAACAGAGGGTGCCTAAATTTACAAAAAAAGAAGAAAAAAAAAGGACAAGTCTGAAATGGATAATAAAGGAAATGGATGAGTCTTCATTATTAAAATCAATGCTCCCATATTACTAATCGGTAAAAACAATCTCAGACAATAGAAGACCAACCTTGTATAAAGAAACAAGCGGTTAATGTCAACTTCAAATTGTAGCTGTCTAGGATCCCTAGCAAAAGTAGGACTTTTCGAAAGGGTTTTCACAGCCTGAAAACAAATTCAGACCAAGATTGTTGTGAAAATGCACAACAGGTCGAATAAGATATCATAGTTAAGCATAACATAAGAATTAAGATCATGGAGTCATGGAGAGTTCATAAACACTAATCTTTATAAGATTAACACTATATCCTGCAAAAAATAAGACGCCCCGCCTCCAAGATATACAAATGATTCTTGCTACCGGCCAAACAAAGCATATTATCTTCTGAATGAGCTTTGCTCATTTTTCTTTCAAGACCACGTGTCATTGACAAGGGCAGGGCACTGAGATTAACACGTAATTTAATTGTTTCTCATTTATCCTAAACTTTTATACAACAACAACAATAATTTACACAATTTGTCATATTCACACAGCAAAAAAGTAATTAATTTTCATACAAAATGAGGAGATACCTCTTGAAATTTCTGAAATAAAAAAGCCATGGCGATTTGTAGAGGAAAAAGCTACCATCCACAACCTAACCAGATTTTTATGCACTCAATTTAGGATGCTGGAGAAGTACTGCCGAAAAAGAGATCAAATAAGTTGTAAATGGCCGTTGAAGAAGAAAATAAGTGAAACATATTGAAAATAAACAGGGCAATATAACTGAAGGAAGAACTCAAGTAGAGAGAAAAGTCAAGTGAAATAATGACAAAAAAAAAATAAGCAAATTATTATACCTGCAGTGGGGCATTTCTATAAACACCTTGTAGTCAGCCAACCTACATTAATATTAGATTACTTTCTTCCTAACCCTTCCTCTCTAAATCAACTTAAGATGTTGCTCACAGATGCTTTACCCCTATGCATTACTAGAATTGTTAATCTAACGATAATAAACTGCATTTTGATCCTACCAAGTGCCAAGAACCCATGAAGTCTAGCTGCATTCAATTCTCAAATTCCAATTGAGGGAATTCTTATTCCTAACTCACTTTGCTATTCACATTGGAAGAGTTAAAGAACGTACCTTTGAAAGCTAAGAGATCGCCGGACAATCACCACCGTCGCCGCCCTTCACGGCAAAGGTCGTAAAACTTGGTGCTATTTTCTCTTTCTTTTTTAATTTGGGATAAAAAGGTAGTAAGAATTTGGTACTTTTTTTTTTTTTTTTTTTTTGGGTAATTTGGGCCTAGATTTGATGCAATTTATGGTGAAAACTGACGAAAAGGCTTGGTGCAAGGTAATTACTTTTTGCACAACTAATTTTTTCTAGATACATAACTTATGTCCCTCTCATTTTTTTTAAATACTTTTAATCTTACACTCGTAATTAAATTTTCACAGTCTAATTATATTTTGGAATTATAATTTTGGAAACCTATTTGTATATTTCTTAAATTATAATTTCAAAATTTTACTTCTTACTCATTTTTGAAAATAAAATTTGAGATATCTATTTGTATATAATTATGAAAATATAATTTCAAAACATAGTTCTAAATGTATTTCTTTTATGAATATTTTAAATATGTTCTAAAACTATGTTTTCTAGATTATACAAATAGACTTGTAAAAAAATTTCTTCGATGTCATTTCATGTCACCAGAACATTCTGAAAATTAATGTATACGTGGTGTGGTGTTGGATAACAATTTATGTTCTTTTTACTCTCTATTTGTTGAAGACCCTCTTCACCTTTTTCTAATGTGCCCTATAGCTTTTAATACTTGATTAGTTGTGGCCAATTGGTTGGAGGTGGCGGTGGTCCTTCCTAATTCTTTAACTTCTTTTTATTTATATTGGAGAAATCTTGGTATTTGTAAAAAACATTCTCAGTGTTTTCTGGTAGTTTGGGTTTCTGTTATTTAGTTACTATGGCTTCATCGAGATGTGATCACATTTCAGCAAGGTGTTTCGGATTGCAAGGAAGTGTTTGACAACATTAAATTGCATTCATGGAAGTGGATAACTAGTTCTGTCCTGAATGTTCTTTTAGTTACATTAACTGGTATCATAACCCGAATTTATATTTTTCATAGTATCGACTTTGATTTTTATTTATAATTATGTTTTTATGTTCCTTGTAACGGGTTGGAGTACCTCTTATACTTCCTTTTAATTTAAATCTCTCTTGCTTATAAAAAAAAAATTCATAATTCATCTCTTGTTCTCTCTCACCCTTTTTTTTCTTTGATTCTGAGTGTGTTCTAACTTAGCTTGCGGGGCTTTGTATTGTATGAGAAATCCTTTCTTGCATGGGTTTTCTATCTGTGTGCCAATTTTTTTGGTGTGGAATTCTGAAAAGTTCAAATGGTAAATCTTGAGTGCTTCTATTGTGGCTTTCCCTGCCAACTTGTGTTTTTATGGCAAGTTTAACAATGATGTATGAAGATGACTATCATTTTTCCGAAAAGTACAATAAATTGTAAAGAACTAGATTTTATACTCACGGGATATACATTATTTATTAATAAATATTAAAATATTAAATAGATATTACACCACTCTGAAATAATTTTTGTCATTTCCTTCGACTTATCCTTTCTATGCTACAATATATGTTTTGGAATATGAATCAAACAAAGAGAGGATTTATTGTAAGAATCAAAGACCAAGATTAATGGAAGGTATACCAAAGAAAGTAAGAAAAGTACATAAGAGTGTGTTTGGCAATGTATATTAGGTATTATAAATTAATTTAATTAAAACAAAAGTATTTAATATGTGAGCTTATGTTAATTATTTCTAATTTATTGTAATAAGCTACTTCAACTGTTTAAAAAAATATTTTAGCTTATAAGATACTATTTTTTTTTTATTTTCTCATTTTATTCTCATTAATTTATTAAAAAATTTATTTATATTTCAAATAACTAAATATGTATTTTTTTAATATTATTTTATATTTAACCGTTAATATTTTTAAATATTTTTAATTCAATTAATTAATCGGTGAGTTTTTAACTTTTTAACTCCCCAACTTATAATTTATAGACTTTTAGTAAATTTATAAACTAACTTTTTTAAAAACATTTTAAATTAACTTTTAGAAGAAATATTTTTTTAATATAAATATTAAACATACTTTTAGAAGTTTCATATATATATATATATAAACTTAGGGATTAATGTATTAATGAGAGAGTTATTTTTTTTTTAGAAATAAACTCCTTTTTACTAATTATAGAATACTTTTTTTTAAGTGTTTGTTTAGAAACACTTATTTTTTAAGTTTAGAAAAATAATATGAAAGGGAAAAAAAGTAAGGATGGAGTTACAATGTAATGAAATAGAAAATGAGATCAATATTAGTTAGTATAAGTGATAGTGACTTGTGTTTCTTAATCAAATTGTTCATGATTTGAATCCTGATATTGGATATGAAATAAATTATGTTAGAAGAAAAATATACACATTGTGTGTACTTATGCTCTTGATGAAAAAAATTAGTTACTATTTTGATGATAAATATTTAGTATCAATACCATAATTAAAAAATGTAAAAAAACTTTATGTTAAAGCGGATTAAAATTATATGTTATTTTATTGGTACCACGTCCCAGTTTTAGATGAACATATTATATAATTGTCAGCTCGAAGATGGGAGGGTTTTAGAAGAGAGGAAATAAGAGAAGAGAGCAAAGGTTTGGAAATGTAGAAATGACTTTATTTTTAACAATAAATTGTCAATAGATTTTGGTATTCTCATTAGGCATGGCAATCTAACCCGTCCCCGTGGGTACTGCAATACAAGTCTTGAAAATCAGACAATCTCTGAATATGTGCTTCGAATTCAAACCCTAGTTGATGCCCTCACAGCCATCGGCGACTCTGTTTCTCCAAAGGAACACCTTGATATAATTCTTGAAGGCTTACCCGAAGAATACGAATCCACCGTGTCTCTCATCAGTAGCCGTTTTGACCTTCTGACCATAGATGAAGTCGAGACCTTGCTTCTTGGCCATGAATCCCGTCTTGACAAGTTCAAGAAGAAAGTCGCTGCCTCCATTAATGTCACCACCACCACCCCTGAACCCAATCTGTCTGTCACGAACCCACAAGCACATCTTGCCCATCAAGAAAACCAATCTGCCTTTTCTCAACGTCGAGGGGGTCGCACCAATTTTCGTGGTGGCCGTTTCTCCAACCGGGCAGGCCGTGGACGAGGCAGATTTGCTGGGTACCAATGTCAAGTCTGCCATAGGTACGGACATGTTGCTTCTGCCTGCTATTATCGTTTTGATGAAACCTATGTTCCATCCTCACCTCTTGAAGCACCCGCGTACCACTCTACCAACCAACATGCAAACACAAGCGTGTGGTATAGCAATCAACCTGCTTCTTCTTCTCTTCATCAAAATGGCATTCTTGGGCCTAGACCTCAATTTACTCCTCAAGTCCAATTCACCTCCACCCAGGCGCAACCTCAAGCCATGATTGCATCGTCCTCCTCTTCAAGCAACAACAATTGGTATCCGGATTCTGGGGCATCAAATCATGTTACCAATGTCTCTCAAAATATTCAACAATTTACTCCTTTTGAAGGACCCGATCAAATCCATGTTGGTAATGGACAAGGGCTTCACATTAACTCCACAGGTGTTACCACCTTTCATTCTCCAATCAACCCTAAGTTTCAATTTGCTCTAAACAATCTTCTATTTGTGCCCTCCATCACAAAAAATCTAATCAGTGTTAGTCAATTCTCCAAGGATAATTCTGTATATTTTGAATTTCACCCCTACATTTGCTTGGTCAAATCACAGGACACTAAAGAAGTTCT